CTCTTCCCACTCCTAGCCAGGGCTGGCGTTTCAGCATCGTCCCTCTGGCTGCTTTTCACATCCCCAGGTACAGCGGGGGGCTCACTGCTGTCCCTCCGGCTGCTCTGCGTATTCCCAGCCAGGGTTGCTGCTGGATGGGAGCAAAGGCGGTGTTTAGGAAGGAGCTGCCCACGTCCCAGGCTCTCCGGGGTAGCAGTCCCCTGACATGGGGATGGTGCCTCACCTTCGATCTCCTCAGCCCGCAGTTTGCGGATAGCAGCTCGGATCAGCTTGCGCTCCTCGTACTCACCCGCTGCCCGCAGCTGCAAGAGGAAAAGATCCAGGAGAGAAGCAGGGTCACCCCGGCACACGGTCAGCCCCGGCACACGGTCACTCACCAGTTTTGTCAGCTCCTCCACGTCAGTGATGGCTTCGAGCTGCCGGGACAAGGTGGCCAGAGCTGTCTGCTGCTCCTCCTCCAGGCGCTGGGACCTGTGTGGGGGCAAGAGCGGCCGGCCAGAAGCTGCCATGGGTGCTCGGGAGCAAAGTCCTCTTGTGGGCAGCCGCTAAATTCAGGCAATGGGGCCCCCCCCCACGTGCTAAGCTGCTCAGCGCAGGGCTGCTCCCACCCTCCTGCCCACCCAAATCAGTCCAAGACACAGTGGGGCCAGACCAAGCCACTGCCCCCTGGGGCAGAGGCAGGGGGTGAGCAGGACCCCAGCCCCACACAGGACTCACCGCGGCCAGTTCTCCTTGTTGTCCTGCCGGTGGCTGCCACGCTCTGGGCGGAAGCGCTTGGATGCCAGCGCCTCCTCGTCCCGCTCCAGCTCCTGCCGCTGCAGCTCCCTGATGGCCGAGCGGATGCGGCGCCGCTCAGCCAGGTCCAGCGTTGCCTCCAGCTGGGTGTGACAGGGCAGGGCTCAGCACTGGCTCTGGCCACTGCGGCCCCCCCAGCTTGGCCCCGGTGCCGCCCTCCGCGGGGCTGCCATGGGCTGCCCACGCGCTGCACAATGGGACTGTCTGTCTGGCAGGGCCCACGCGCATGGCGCATGCTGCCTGGCACGGCTTGGCCCCGCAGGGAGCGGGCATGGCCCCCCTAGGGACAGGATGCTGGGACCAGCCATGGCAAGGAGGGGCTGCCACGGTGGCATCAAGACCTCCAGGCATGTGAGGGGCAAGGAGACAGGGGCACGTGGCACAAATGCCCATCGGTGGTCTGTGCAGCCACCAAGGGTCAATTATCTGCAGCCCTGCCCCCCCATGCCACTGGCACAAGGACGAGCCCTCCCGCTGATGCCAGCCCCTTCAGCAGCAGCGGGGGACAGCAGAGGATCTGGTTCCTCTCCCACCCCCACAGCCCCCAGGTGGTGCTGGTTGGGAGGGTCCCAGCACCCCACTGAGGAGGGGTGTCCCCCACCCTAGGGGATCCCCCAGCACTAGGGGATGGCAGGCGGCTCTCTGAGCCAAATCCATGAGCAGGATCTGTCCTAAATTGAAGTCCAACCCTCTGTATGTGGGCAGCATGACAACGACACCCCCCCTCCCCAACGAGTATCTCACGGGTGCTCCTCAGCCCACCCAAAGCCACCCACCAGGACCTGGCATGGGCACCCAGAGCTGCTTCCCCTCTTCCAGATCAGGTTCACAGCCCCAGCCCTGCAACCGGCCCAAGTGCTTCAAGGGGGCCATGCACAGGCCCCCCCAATGCTGAAGGGGGGCAGAAGGCAACCAGATCTGTGGTGAAAGGCCAGCCAGGGCAGGCACGGCCCCACTGTCCTGCTGTGGGACATCGGGACCAACCCGGCACTGGGAACCCAGGAGGTGATTTCCCATGGAGCTCGTTAAAAATAAACCCCGTGAGCCACAGCAGCTGCTGTCAGCATCAAGCCCTGGCATGCTGGGAGCAGTCACGGCCGCGCCAGAGGACAAGAGCATCAGTCCCCTCCCTTCCAGTCCCACAGGCCACGGGTTGGTCCCTCAGCTAGACCCAGGCTGAGCAGCACCGAGGGCCCCAAACCACTGCCCACATGCAGAAACCCCTCTGCACAGACCCCCTAGCAAAGCGATCTCCCTTTGCTCTCCTTGCTTAGGGTTTGTTGGCCATGGGGGGATATTTCCATCCCAGTGAAACCAGCAGGCACAGAGACGCCACGTGCCGCCCCAGTGGCAGACAAAATTGTGGTCCTCCAGCCCCCGACAGCCATGAGGCCCAGCTTGGAGCAGCATCCTTCCCCAGCTGGGAAGACCCTGGCAGGATGCTCAGCAACCAGGACCACCAACCCCCAGGGCAGCATCCCCTGGCCAGGCCAGCGCTGAAAACGCATGCAACCTCGGGGGCAGCCGCTTGAAGCCAGGGCGCTCCCTCCCACCCTGGCAGCCCCCACCACACCGGCTGGCAGTGCCATCCCTCCCAGCACGCTGCAGCTGCTTATTGAATGCCGCAACAGCATGAGCGTCTGTCTCCTGGCTGGAGCTGGGGCCTGCAGCCCCCCTGGCTCTTATCTGGAGCTGGCACCTCTGCTGGTGCAAGGGCAGGGAAGCGGCTGGGAAGACTAGGAGCCACTGCGCTGCCAGGGCAGGGGGATGTTGGGGAGGAAGCCAGCCCCTGCATCCACAAGGGCCTCCCATTTCCCGTTTGCGCTAGGCCTGCCTGCCCCAGGCAGCTGCCTGCACCCTGGGGATGCTGCTGCAGGCGGGGACACTGGCTGCCAGGACAAAGGCACCGAGATGGGGCTTTTTCCTCTGCTGCTCCAGCAGAGACGGCAGCCACCCTGGCTGGCTGGGAGGCCCAGCTCTGCTGCATATGGGGTGGCAGCAAGGGGCTGGGGGAGCAATGGAGCCTGGTCCAGCCCACAACAAAGGGCTGGAGGCGGAGGCTCCGTGGCAAGCACGGCTCTCCCCGCAGCCATGCAAAGGCCTTGAAGACAGAAAAACACTTCTCTGCCACACACTGGTAGGCCATGGCCCTGGCCCTTCCCTAAATAAGCTGCTGGCGGTGCACGGCTCGGCCCCAGCAGCCAGGTCAGGGCGATGCAGGGGGCAGCAGCTGCAGGAGCCAGGAGTGCCAGGAAGGGGAGGACACAATGGGACACTGGCCCTATGCACCCTGGAGCAGGGGACACCCCGGCACCCGTGTGCTGCATGACACCCACCCACCAGTTCCAGGGTCTGCCCTGCCCGGGAGGCTCCAGCTGGGACCTGACCTGCACCCAGGTCCTGGAAGGCTTCTCCCCATGGGAGAAACGTCAGCAGGACAGGCGAAAGAGCCTCGTCCCAAGCCCACGTCAGCAGGGAGCTGGGATGAGGCAAATGAGTGGCTTTGGAGGCTCCGTGGCCAGCAGCAAGGGGGAGCGTGCCGGAAACCACAGCTGGAGCCAGGGGGTGGGAAGGGGCCGAGGGGCCCAACCCTGCCTGCACAGGCAGGCCCAGCGATCGGCACATGCCAGGGCCCCACCAGCCCTGCCCAGCCAGCAGCAAATTAATGGTTACGAGCAAACGCCCGCCCCAGCACACACACAAAGTGGCTTTGTGAAAAGGGTGCTGGCAAGGCACCCGTGGGCTGCTTTCCTGATGATGCCCGAGTACAGTGGTGTTCAGAGCCCCAGCATGGCTGGCAGCTCCTCCGGGAGAGCTGTAATTAGCCCCGCATCCATCCGGCTTCACAGAGTGGCTGAGCACAGAGCACTTGGGAGGCTGGAGCCCAGCCACAGGGATACTGCTCTGGGGACAAGAGCCAGGCACATCAAGCACCTCCTGCAGCCCCAAGCTTCACTATCACCTTTGGAAGGAGCCACGGAGAATGTGGCTGCCTCCTGGTCAGAGGAAAGCAAGAAGAACAGCTGGGTGATGGGAACATGGCAGGGATGCAACACTCCTCAGGGCCACTGAAGCCTTTCCCAAAGGCCACCAGTTGTAAGAAGAAGGGGACCTCATGGCCATGACTTTCCTAGCTCAAGCCTGCCCTGCCTCTGCCTGCAAGGGGATTTGCATCCTGCCTGTCTAATTAACCAGGCTGAGATCTGGAGGGGCCAGTTGAGGGGAGCATTCCCCAGCCCGGGGCCAGCAGGCCACAGTCTGGAGCTCAGTATAGCCCCAAGCACTCAAATAACCCACTGTTTCCAGACACCCAGCTAAGGGCCACCCTGCAGCAGCACCCACCCCGTTCCCCACAGCTCCCTCCCCAGGCTCCTCCAAGCCCTTGATCACCTTCATGCTGCACCACAGGTTCATCCCAACTGGCGTCCCTGGACTGGGATACCAGCAGGCAGCTGGGGAGGGAACCACGTGGATGCCTATGGGAGGGAGATGGGGGGCAGATGCTCCCTGGCAGCTCCCAGCCCAGCCAGCACAGCTACGCTCCCTGTCAGGGGCCTGCAGGGACCTGCTCACGTCCCCCAGCCTCCTCCTTCCAGGACTCCCAGGGATATCACACGCTGCTGCCGAGGTCTCACTTGCTGGGAGAAAGGAGGAGGAGAAGCAGCCCAGAGCCGAGGGCTGGGGAGAGCAGAGGAGCAGGGAAGAAGCAGTGGGACAGGCAGTTTTCCCTTATATGGGCTAATCCTCTTCCAGCTGAGCAGAGCCAAAACCTAACCAGAAAGAAAAATAATTCCTTCCCCGCCTCACGTCAGCTTGGGGCAGGCTTTCCCCAGCCCACACCACACAGGCACTGGGATACCCGAGCTGTGAGCAGGGTGCTCTGGGGATGCAGAGCCCCAGCGGGTCAAAGTCTGGGGAGAAGCGGCGCTTGGTGTGCGGGTAAGATCCACCTCCCCAGGCTGGCTGGAGGCCCAGCCACACCACAGACCCAACACCTACCCCATCACCACTCCCTGGGCTCCGTCTCAGCCCAGAGACCTCAGCCAGCATGGCAGAGCCAGAGCACTGGCAGGACAGGGAGAAACCCAGACCACCCATCCCCACACCTCCAGAGCCCCCCGTTGGCCCAGATGTCACCCCACGGAGAGTGGCGGGCTCCTCAGCCCACAAACAACGGGCAAGTCAGCACAACGTCACCCAGAGCAGGCTGAGGATGGCACGTCAGGAGGCTCTGGCAGGACAGCGCAGCCCGTGTGCTGACCCCCCACCCATGGCACAGCGCAGCTCCCGCTTCCCGCCGGTGCCGCGGCACCCCGACTCTTTCCTGTTCCTGCAGACGTGCCTTCCCGGCTGACTCAGCTTCCTGCTGTAATCATTCCCCAGTGCCATCCCAGGCCACCCTGCGCTTAGCCCCCACAGCATCCAGCAAATCCCCAGCCCCAAGCCTGTGGTGCCCCGGGGCTGGAGAGGAGGTGGCAGGGCTGCCCAAAGCTGGGCAGCACTTTGTAGGGCTTCCTGGCACAACAGCCCTGGCTGAGCAAGTCAGAGCCCAGCACCCAGAATCCCACCTTTGGGACACACAGGTGCTCATCCCCCACAAGCCCACCCAGCCCTGGCAGCCACAAGGCGAGGGCTTGGCTCCAGCTCTTTTTCCCAGGGGAACAAATAGAGCAGGGAAGTGGCTCGGATGTTGCTTCAGCAGCTGCCGCGCAGGATGGGATGCCCAGCAATGCGGGCACAGAGCCGGGGGAGCAGCCCCTGGCACCAAGCCAGCCCCGGGCAGTACAGGAGCAGAGACCCAGGCCAGATGGCAGCCAGCACCGGGAGCACGGTGAGCATGTAACTGAGCCGGCAGCAGGAAACATCTCAGGCGGGAGCTGCCGGCCAAGGAGATGAAGCCAACGGACAGACGTTACAGCCGGGGCACGGGTGCGAGCAAAGGACCAAGTGTGGCCAAAGCAGCAGGGCCAGAGTCTCTGGAGTCACCGGGGCAGGACAGGGACTTGTGCTAGACCTCACCCGTGCCCAGCGCTATGACCCAGGCCAGCTCGGGCCCCTCCAGGTGCTGCTACCCCGGACCCCCCAAGCACTGTAGCAGCTCCTTGCCAGCGGGCCCGCTCACCCCCCTGGCTGGGGGCAGCGGCAGCTCCAGCATCTGCGGA